AAGAAAGAAAGAAAGAAAGAAAGAAAGAAAGAAAGAAAGAAAGAAAGAAGGAAGAGAGGGAGGGAGGGAGGGAGGAAGGGAGGGAGGGAGGAAGAAAAGGAAGAAAGGAGAAAGGGAAGAAAGAGAAAGGGAGGAAGGAAGGAAGGAAGGACCGAGGTCAGAAAATGTGGGCGTAAGCTTGGCGTCAAGGTCATTCAGTGACCCCAGATCTAGAAGGCTGCATGTAAGTTCTGGGGCTGTCCTGGGAGCTACTGCCTTGAAAGCAAGGAAGAAGGGATACAGAGAGATTGCTTCCAAGTGGTATAACTGGAACAGGAGAGAATCAATTGAAAAAGTGTTACGAAAACTGAGGGGGAAATTCATAAATAAAGATCACTAATTTTTATCATCTATAGTCAGAAGAGGAACGGGAAAGACGCTATTTCTGACAGCAACGTGAAAAGAACAAGCCAGAAACAAATGCGGACAGCACGCACGACTTCGCCACGAGGAAAATCAAAAGCATTGCGAAAGAAAATTTGAAGGGCTGGGCTTGGCTCAGTGATGAAACACTTGCCTAGAAAATCTGAATCAGTGGGCAAAGAAGCTATGTCTTCCCCCCCCCCCTTTTTTTCTCCTTCAAGACAAGGTTTCTCTGTGTAGCCCTGGCTATCCTGGAACTCACTCTGTAGACCAGACTGACCCCAAACTCAGAGATTCGCCTGCCTCTGCCTCCTGAGTCCTGGCATTTAAGGTGTGCACCACTACCAACCAGTGAAGCTGTGTGTTCTTGAGTAGAAACAGTAAACACGGGGGGCAGGAAGAGAAGAACCAATATCACAGAACGCTGTTTCTTCTATGAAGCTGTAACTCAGGAAATGCAGTAGAAGATACCAATAAGATTTTTGGTTTTGTTTTGCTGGGGGAGGGGGAGCAGGAGACTCACATAAACTCAGGTGTTTACAAGCCCAGGATAATTAAACCACCGAAACATGAAGGCAGACCAGAAGTCAGCAACTCACACAGTGTTACACCAGCATATGTACCACATGTACCAGTGAAGGTCATGAAGCCACGACACTCTGCCCTGGGACCTGTGTGCGGCTCATCATAGTGTAGGGTGAGTTTGAAAGTCACACAGGCAGACAGAAAGAAGGAAGACAGGCCAGGCTGTGGTGGCGCACACCTTTAATCCCAGGACTCAGGAGGCAGAGGCAGGTGGATCTCTGTGAGTTCAAGGTCAGCTTGGTCTACAGAATGAGTTCCAGGACAGCCTCCAAAGCTACACAGAGCAACTCTGTCAAACAAAACAAAACAAAACAAAACATGCAGACAGTTCAGCAGAGACACGGGGCTTTGTTGGTCTTTGAAGGTGATATGTTCCTCGCAGGCTCACAGGCTTGATCTTGGTCAAGACAAACTTGGTCCCCAGCTGGTGGCACTGACCTTTAGGACAAGTTAGGACACTTGCTAGAAGAAGTGAGTCACCAGGATCCAGACTTGAGTCTTTATAACCTGGACCCACTTCCTCTTCACCTCCTGCTTCTCGGGTACAGCCTGACCAGCCAGCTTTCTTTGCTTTCTGCCACGCTTTCCCTGCCTGCTACCGTGTCTTCCCTGCCTCAGTGGACTGTGTTCCAGGAACTGTGAGACAACGCAAGTCCTTTCTCTGTTAGGTCGCTTTAGTCAGGGTATTACATCGCAATGATGCAAAAAGAAAGTAAGACACTCTGTGTGTGGAAGAGATAATAAAATCTAACTCTTGTCAGAAAAGTTACATTGGAATAAACCTGACCTAGACAACAGATCAGAGACTGGAAGGCAAAAATCTGAAACACAAAATAGAAGACATAGGAGACCTTTTCAATGATCTTAGAAGGAAAGGCCTTTCTCAATAAGGGCCAACATTAGACACCATGAAAAAATAAATTGGTGTCCTGTGATCACAGGACCGCTGAGCATGTGCAAAAAGCATCTCAAAGTGAAGGGCACCCTGGAAAATATTTGTATCATATTTCCTTCATGTATAGAGTTCCTGTTTTAAAAAAATAAGAAAAACACAAAGAATATGACAGGAAAAAAATAGCAAAAGTCACATCAACAGCCAGAAACACAAAGACCCCAAACCCAATGATGGACGGTCAACTCTGTTCAGAGACGTGTATGTCACTTTGACCCAACATGCTCCACTTGGTACAGCCCCCTGCTGCTCTGCCAGTAAAATTCCTCTGGAGATGTAATCTCAATGGATTACCTCCGAAGGATCAGTCTCTGCATCAAAGCTATTACCGATACTATTGGATAAGAACTGGATAAATGAAGCCAACAAACAGTTCCCGGAAATTCCACGCTTTGCAGACATGACCCCACTCAACTTCTGTAGCAGGATGGCCTGGTGGACACCCTCTACCCATTTCTCAGGTGGGAACAGCAAAGCTCAGAGAGTCAGGCCAGGAACCTAGGTTGCCTGAAGTCTTGCAGGCAACCTCCCCAGGGCAGGCGTGGGCAGTGGCTGGAGCAGTTGGGAAGGTGGATGGTACTCACTTGTGCATGTAGCCCTCGGGGCCGGCCGTGAGGTTTGCCTGCATGACCGCCTGGAACTCCGTCTCGTTGCAGCAGTATTTGAAGACCGTGTTGTTATGGTGACAGCACAGGACGAAGGTCTTGTTGTCTGAGAGCCGGGGGCAGTGGAAACCGAAGTGGTAGCGGCCTTTGTGGTCTGTGTAAGGCTCACAGACCCGGAAATGTGCGGACAGTACTGGAATATAGAGACACCAGGTTCACCAGGGTCCCCTTGGCAGCCCACAGGTGCCCAGCAGAAAGGACTGGCAGCCTGGTCCAGAGTCCTGCTAGCTCCTTCCCTAGGACCTCTTCATGGTCCAGGAAGAGCTTCACCTCCACCCCAAAGCCTCCTCGACCCCTGGTCCCCAGCTCTGTCACAAGTTCGACTGCTGTATCCCAGGCTGAGTGCTTCTTGAAGCCCACCCATAGGTGGGTCCCCTCATCTCAGCCCTTAGTGACTAGACACCTATCCTGTGTACCAAGGACCTTCCCACTTAATCCACATGGCTACCCTGACAGGCAGGCTTGTGATGCCACTTCGCAGGTAGAGAAACTGAGGCTCAGAGGCCTACCAGACTTGGTGGAGCTCGTCAGTGGTGATGACCCAGCTCCTGCAATCTCCCCCGCCTCCAGCTTGCTCCAGAGTAGGCTGGGTGTGAGCCAGGCTCTCCTCCGTGTCAGCCTACGTAGGGCTGTAGGACCTAGGGTCTACTTGTACTGAAAGTGCCAGCTCCTCAGCACCTCACATTCTAGAAGCTGTTGCCCCAGACCCGAGCAAGGTCTTATCTGGTTCCCACACATACAGGGCTGTGCTAGCCCCAGATCGTCCCTCCCTGGCCCCACAGAAAGAGGCCCCTATTCAACCTCCTCTGCTGCAAACCACGATGAACTGATGGTGATAAACAGGACCAAATGCGAACAAAACAACAATGGAAAAGCTGGAGCGGCTGTCTCTGGCTTAATTAGTATCTTCATGAAGGGCTCACTGTATCTAATTTGTATCACTGAAAAGGGGCTTCTTGGCGCAGACATCTCCCAGGCACAAAGGCCCTGGCTTCTGAGAGCTCCCACGAGAAGCAAGAAGCGTTGTCGGCTGAGAGGTTATTAGATTGCAGCCCACACAGCGCCACCGCAGGGGACCCCAGCAGGCCAGCTGGCAGGGGGTGGGCACCCTGAGAGCTGGCGCCTAGGCTGGCTCCAAAGGCCCTTCCCTGAAGGGTAGTTTCTCCTTCTGTGGTCATGAGTGGGAAGGTAGCGGCTCTCCAGGCTCCAGCCCACTCTTGTTCTTGAGAAGAACCCTGCTTGCCCAGGGACACAGAGACTACTTGGTGTGAAGCCCCAAGGAGACACGCCATTGAGTCCCATCTACTCCCATCATACAGAAGAGAAAAGCAAGGCTCAGAGCCTTGGCTCGCCAAGCATGCTAATCAAAATGGAGGCTCTCTGCCCCCTACGTAGCTCTTTATACTCATGGAGTGGGGCAGAGGGGGGACAGGTTTTGATCTATTCTGACACGCCCCTGCCATGGGGATGTCCATGTATTTGGGTTGGGGACCGCTGCCCCAGAGCAACTGCAGGCAGTGGGATTCACAGGGAGGGGCAGAGGAGAGCACTCCGCGACAGGTTTTGATCTATTCTGACACGCCCCTGCCATGGGGATGTCCATGTATTTGGGCTGGGGACCGCTGCCCCAGAGCAACTGCAGGCAGTGGGATTCACAGGGAGGGGCAGAGGAGAGCACTCAAGTACCATGGCATGGCTCTTGCATGGTTTGAAGCTCTGTTGTGGCTCTGTGTGCTCAGTGTGGGCACCTGGGAACGCTGAACACACCTAGAGTGCCAGCTGAAAGACCAAGCCTGGCTCTGGGACTAGCCCCTGGCCATGAGACACAGCATAGAGCAGAAGGCTGTCAGGCCTTTGCGGAGGTAATTGTCAACACAGGAGAGATGGGCAGGTACTGCCCAGGACCCAGCTCGCAGTCCCACAGCCATTCCTGGATGCTCTGGCCACTGGCCTTAACCATTTGCCAGTGACCAGAAGACCTTGCCACTTCCTCAGGGATAGAGGAGCCCCAGACTGAGACCAGGATTGCTGGGTGGATGCCCTGGTGGAGGATGGTACCCCAAGATCTTAGCCACCCCCTGGGACTCCTTCCTTCATTGGAGAAGGATCAGCACCCCAGTGGTGGAGACTCCAGGGAGCTCTTGGCATGCTTCCAGTGCAGGCTGGCTACCTCCAGCTCTTAGGGTTCTAGCATCCTAGCACTTGTGTGAAGCACGGTGAACCCCAGTTCTGGAATCAGCTGTTCTCCATTTGTGTGACTCCCACCCACTTGCCTTCACTGAGTCCCTGACCTCAGTGGTAACAAGAAGTGACTGGTTCTTTACACCCAGATTAATGAGGCCCAGCCTCCTCCCCGCCTCCATTACAGGAGAAGAGCTGGGGAGGTGAGGACCAGGGTCCTCCATCACAGGGGGAAGAACTGGAGCGGGTATGGCCCCAGATTCTGGTCTCAGCTTGGCCTCTACTCTGCTCTCCTGGGAGTCCTGTCCCCACCCTGGCCCCTTCATGATCTCGCTCTGAGCTACAGCCCAAGCAAAGTGTGAGAGGAGGAGGCCACCAGTCCTAAGCCATGACTTGGCCACAGTGTGGGGAGGTTCAGAGAGAAGAGAGAAAGCCACACATAAGAGACAGAGACAGACAGAGACCAATGAGTGAGAAAGAGATATGAGAGAAACATATGAAAGAAACAGAGACACACAAGAGAGAAACCTAGAGAGGTGGAAAATATACAAAGAAACAGAATGATGCAAAGACAGAGGAGGAAAGAGGGCGAGACACAGACAGACAGGGTCACGAGAGGCTTTCTGTAGAGCCAGATTCAGATTAGGTCCTGACTGTTCAGCTGGGCTGTCTGTTCTTGGCTCAGGTCTAGGTTGGAGGCATAAAGGTCTGGTTTCTGTGAGCCCAAGACTGCCTGTGGTGTCAGTTCAGAGACTGACTGGTATCGGGAGGGTGTGGCTCCAGCATCTTGAATCTGAATCCTGACCCCTCTACTAGCTGTGTTCTCCAGCCTCAGTTTCTCACCCATCCAAGAGGTAGATTGGCATCGTCTACTTTTGACTTACAGAACTAGAGGAACAAATGTGAACACAGACTCCTGGCAGCACCATTGCCCCCAGTATCCAACAGCTTATCCCTTGATGGGAAACAGCATCAGGAGACTAAGGTACCCTTGTCCTGTCGGCATGCAGAACCCTAGCTGCAGCTCTGGTCTGGAAGGGACCCCCACTTCCCGCTAGTCACTGAGCCCCACCGAGGTTTTACCTGCAGGAAACAGCAGAGAGAATACTGCGAGAACGTTCCGGGACCGCTGGCCACAACTGGTCATCATCCGGCTGGCATTGACCCGTCCGGCGCTGCCTGTGTAAGACACAGAGAGTCACGGCAACTGTCTCTCCACACTTGCTTTGTTGCCCGCAGAGGAGGGACAAGCAGACAGGCAGCAGCCGGCAGGAGCGTGTGGGGAGTGTGGGGAGCCAGGGCGGGCGAATGGAGGATGGAAACACCTCCATCCAATTTCCTCTCTGGAATGAATGACCTTCCCCCAGCAGCCCCGTCACCTCCTTTGCTTTTCACAGCAAAATGAGACTTAATCAAAAGATGCCGACGGCTCAGGTGGTGAAATCACCATCCAAAGTGTCCAGGAGGAGGGGGAACCACAGGTCTACTACCTCTGCCACCTCAGGGCTTGAGACCTTGCTTCCCTGCTGTGTCTCCCAGGGTGACTTCCATTAACCTTTCTGTAAGCGGACACTGGCCAGGCAACCCTTCTGGGCACCGGGGACACAGCAGCCGATTAAAGAGGAAGCAAACAATGGAGAAGAAAGGTGTGTGTCCCAGTGTGGAAGCCACGACACTCACAGGTAAGCAGGGGACAGTGCTGGGAGAATCGGAGCACAGCAGAGGTTCCAGTGTGTACTCACACCCCCACACTCACAGTCTTTATTTACAACAGCCCAAATAACCTAAGGCTCCACAGACATGAGGGAATAAACAAAACCCATGTATAGACACAGTGGAATATTATTCAGCTTTGAAAAAGGAAGGCACCGAGCTGGGGGATGCAGCACATGCCTAGCATGTGCAAGGCCCTGGATTCAATTCCCACCACTGTAAAAAAGAGAGGAAGAAGGCTCTGAGACACTCGCAGTATGGAAGAATTTTCTGGCTGTTGTGTTTGGTGAAACAAGACAGACCCAGAAATACAAACATGGGTGATTCAGCTCGCTCTCACCGGGGCAAAATGCCTAGAATCGTCATATCTGCAGGGACAGACACCTAGAACTTGGCGATCACAGTTCACATGGTGCATGGGTGGGCTGTATACTCCCGTTTCTGCCATCTTCAGGGTAGGTTCCTGCCCCTTCACGTGGTGCTAATGTCTCCACAGCAAGGACTAGCATCCCAAGGACAGTCAGGGACAATGCCCTAGTACACTGTCAAAAACATAGCTCAGCGTGGGAAGGGCCATGCCCAGGCCACAGAGGGGTGTCCCTCTCTCAGCCCACACTGTCCCCAATTCTTACTCAGCTTCTGCGGCTGACTTGATGCCACCCGGCCCTCAGGTGCTCTCCACCTGATCACAGAGAGCAGAGGGGACCTAAGTCGGGCTTCACCCAGTGAACAGTGTATTCCACCTCCCTAGGGATCCAGTCAGGGTTGGCTGAGGGCCACTGGGGTGATCTGAAGGTTGGCAATGGGCTAACTGGCTCCAGGTCAGGCATGGACGTGAAGCGCCCTTCTCCCAGTAGCCTGGGAGCCATATATAGGTACCTCTAGGAACACGTGCTGACCTTGGGCAAAAGGTACAAGCTTGATGATCAGACATAGGTCACAAAAGCTCAACACTGTGTGTCCTGATGGTGGCACAGCCCCTATGGGCCTGTACCCCCTCCTTCTATTCCCTCTTTAACTGTAAGCTGCTTAATTGCTCTGAGCTTGGCCTCCTGCCCCTGGCCCTGCTGGGAGGAAGAGCAGAGATTAAGGCTTTTGAGAGCACTTAGGAGAGGATTTCCATATGGAAACCCACAGGGTCCGCTCTGAAAAATGCACTGTGAGGAAAAGGTACCTCTGAGATGCCCACACCACCTGGGAGGGGGTGGTGGTCTCACGCTACAGACTCGGAGGAGATGAAGAAGCCTGGGGAGGCCGGCTGGGTGTTCAGATGCTCATCCCCCCCCCATCTCTAGCCTGTGGGGCAGGGCTGTCCCCCTGCTGTCTCTGTATCAAGGAGGGACTTGGGGGAGGGGTTGAATCTAAGAGCTGCTGAGCCCCGCCTCAACCCACCTCTCAGCTTTCCGCTCCCAGGAAAGACCGGTTTTATGGGCTGCTGGGTGAATCCAAGTCCCGCCATGCCATCTTGGAGTCACAGACGCAGTGCCCCCTGGGATGTCTGTCCTTATTCCCACTTGCCCATCAACCTAGACTGTGGACCCATGTTCTCCTGACACCAGTGTGTTAATTCACTTACTCCCCTGCTAGGCTCCTCAAATGGACTCAGAACTCAGTCTTCCTCCCACAGCATCCAGGGCCTGCGAGGCCTTCTGCAGCAATGCATGCCACTGGCCTCCTCTGAGATGTGTGCTCCTGTATCCCAGAACTTTGAGGACTGACCAGGCCCCTGGGTTTGGCTCTGAGCACACGGAGGAGCAGTGACTGTCCACGGTGCGGGCTGCTCCCGGTGCCCACAGCTGGACTTTTCAGGGCTCACTCCTGGGTTCCTCTGCCAGGTCAGAAGGGTCCTGGGCTAGGACCTGACTGCAGGGCCCAAGACGGGGGCTTAGCTTAGGGTTCCCAGGCCCTGAGGGGATCCTGGCCCTACAGGGTCCCAGTCTCAGATCCTCAGGTCTCTCTGGGATGGATGGTGGCATGCTGCTTCCTTCAGGGCCAGGTCAGCTGTGCACACTTCCGTCTGTGGACCCAGCAGGTCCTGCTCATGCGAAGTGACCATGTGGCTGAGTCTGACTGTGAGCCAGCCTGAAATGATCTCACGAACTTAATGGTCTTCAGCTCCATGGTCCAACTGAGTGTCAGCCCCCACCTTGGTCTGGCCTCAGAGAAGTAAATCAGAACTGAAGGCCCTGGTGGGGGGCGGGGGCATCACACTGTCAGATACTCCCACCTGGGACATGCAGAAAGTGACATCTGCTGGAGAGGGGGCAGGGACTGAAAAGAGGTCCTGTCTCCCCTCTGTCATGCCTCTGAGGGCCGTGACACCCCCCCCCC